CCTCATCTAAATTCATCAGACATGCAGCCAGGGGGTCCTCAATAGTCAGCATCTCATCATCAGTTTCTACAATTACATCCACGGCATCAATAAGAGAGCAATTGGCGAATTCACTTGGTCGCCTCATAGATTTCTGCACATTGAATGTTATCTCTTCGTCGTTCAGTCTCATCTTGAGCTCCCCAGTCTCACAATCAATGAGAGATCTCCCAGTGGCCAAGAACGGCCTTCCCAAAATTATGGGAATTTCTTCATCCACCTTTCAGTCTAAGATCACAAAATCTACAGGGAACACAAATTTCCCTACCTGAATCAACACATCATCCAGGATACCAGAAGGTCTTTTTACGGTCCTGTCAGCCAGCTGCAACAACATAGAGGTGGGCCTAACTCTTCCAATCCCCAGCCTCTTATAAATTGCTAGGGGCATAAGATTTATGCTGGCCCCTAGATCACAAAGTGCCTTAACGAAAGCAAAATTACCAATAGTGCAGGGAATTGTAAAGCTCCCTGGGTCAGATAGCTTCTCCGCAATTGGTCTAGTCACCACTGCACTACAGGTCTGAGTAAGAGTCACCGTGGCTAAGTCTTGGAAATCGAATTTCCGGGACATTAAGTCTTTCATCATTTTTGCATACCCAAGCATCTCTTTCAAAGCATCTATCAATGGAATATTTACCTGGATTTGTTTCACCATCTCCAACAATTTCTTGTACTACTCCTCTTTTGGGTACTTAGCCAGCCTCTGAGGGAATGGTGCAGGAGGTCTCTTCTTCCCAATGATTTGGGATTGCTCTTTATCAGCTGCCACCTCAACTACCTGTTCCTGGGCTGTCTCAGCTTCTTTCTCAGCCTCAATCTGAATGGTCTGTTCTTCATGGGCAGGCTGGACTGTCACCTCTGTCAGTTTTGTTGACTCATCTAGCTCAATAGGCACTGGTATAAGTGTCTCAGCCTGTCTGGTTTCTCAAGCCCTTTCTTGCTCTACATCCAAATCTCTGCCATTACATAGACTCACTGCCATCAGCTGCTTAGGGCCTTGATCTTTTGGGTTTATCTGGGTGTCTGCAGGTAATGTCCCATGAGGGCGATTGTTTAGAGACATCGAAATTTGGCCCATCTACACTTCAATATTCTTGATAGCTGAATCATGTGCATCTACTCTTTCACTAATTTTTGCATTTGACCCAATAACCTACTGCATCATTGCTTCGAGTCTAGCAAACCCATCTTCCTGTCGTCCACCATGCTGTTGTTGAGGAGGATGATACCCCTACTGCTAATTCTGATTATTGTATCCCTGTGGCCTTTGGTAAGGTTCCATATTATTAGGAGGTCTCATACCTCCCATGTTTCCATTGTTGCACTGTGGCTGGCCTAGCCTGTAAGGCTGCTGCTGCTGACCCCAATTTTGACCACCCTGTCTCTGGCCTCCATAATTAGACATATAATTCTTGTCTTCAGGGTAGTGATGATGATCATGTTCCGCATTTCACTGGTTACCAATTGGCTGACTAATGCAAGATGTGCACAAGCCCCCATTGGTAGTATCTACAATGTGTACCTGCTGCTTCTGCCCTGATTCTTCCACCTTCTTGGTGAGTATACTCATCTGTGTCAATAAGGTGGCCATATTTTCAGCCATAGAGTTAGATGGATCTAAGGGCACTGAATGAACCACTGGGGTGATAGGTGCATTCCTGGTTGTCCATCCCGAATTCTGTGCCATCTTGTCAAGCAGACTTTGGCCTTATCTCCATGTTTTGCTCAAAAATGCTCCACTAGCTGAAGCATCAACTATGTTCTTCACGCTATCTGACAATCCCATGTAAAACCGCTGCCCCAACATCAGATTTGGGACTCCATGGTGTGGACATATAACCAGCATCCCTTTGAAGTGTTCCCATGTTTCATGTAGTGTCTCCATTGGTCTCTGTTTAAAACTCAAAATTTCATCAATTTGTTGAGCAGTCTTGTTGGGTGGGTGGAACTTGTTATGGAATTGCTTGACTAACTCCTCCCAAGTTGTTATGGAATTTATGGGGAGTGAGTTTAGCCAGGTCTGGGCAGCTCCTGTCACTGAGAATGGAAACAATAACAGCTTGATTGCTTCCGTAGTTACGTTGGGCTGCCTTTGGGTTTTGCAGATTGACAGGAAATTCTTCAAGTGCTGTTGAGGATCTTCGACTTGTGACCCCGAAAATAGTCCCTTGTTTTGAAACAAGTGCAGCATGTTATTCGTGATTTGGAATGATTCAGCCTGTATCTGCGGGACTACAATCGTTGTGGCCAGATTTTCAGCTGTGGGTTGTGCCCGGTCATAGAGAGCAGCCTCTGGCACAAGAGGTGCCGGTGGCGCTATCGGTGCAGGTGGGTTTCCTTCGTGATCTCCCATGTTCAGTTCGATTTGTTCAATTGTTTGTTGCTGTTTGCTTTTCCGATTGGCCCGGTTCAAGGCCTTAAAAACTTTCTCAGGATCAGATAAAGCTTCGAATACTTCACCAGTTCTCGTTGAGTTTCTAGGCATGCACTTGTACAACCAAGTCAACAAACATTAAAATTTCAATGTATAGATTGGGTATAGAGAAAACTGACCACACTAAGAATTTCTGTATTTCTTTCAATTGTAATTGATAACACCATTAATTCCCCGGCAATGGCGCCAAAATTTGATCACGCCCAACTATGCCTTATAAAAAGGACACGCGGACGTTGCAAATATAATTTGAGTATTTAGCCCAGAGTCGAACCCACAAGGAATTAACCTATCAATTACTCTCGTTAGACTTACTAAATTTCACGGAATCAACTTTCCAAACGTTGTAAATAACAATTGATGGTATTTCTACTAACTACGAATGAAAGTAAATAAGCAGCTGAAAACTAACTATGATTAAGTTGTAAATAATTAAGAGAAGGTTCTAAGGTTATGATTTCCCCTATTGACGGAATCCCTTCCGGTTATGCTTTACATAGATTTGCCTAATCATCTCTATCAATCATGAGCACTATTTTTACCGTAAATCTCTCCCGAGTAATCACAATAATTTACTAGATGCACTCTCCCGAGATACGCTAGTTGGCTTTATTTATTACAGCTCACTTTAGATCACACTCAAGGCTTCGTTATCCCTAATTCCGCCTTTAAACCCTCGGTTATTGATCCCTCATATACTTTGGGAGTGGTGCTGTTCAACAGTTGACCTAAATATGCACTCTATCCCGAGTTATGCACACTAAATAGGCACAGCTAATTGAGGATCCTGTCAATTAACTACAATAAGAATATAGTTGAACAAATAGAGATTAAACCGGGCAAACTATATTAACATAACAAGAAGTTCATCCTTCAATAGGTTCCATCAAAACCTTAGACTAAATATTTAGCTACTCATACTAGTGTTCATCACAACAATATTCAAAATCATCACAAATCGTAAAAACAAAAAGGAAGAAAGGAAGAACTCGATGTTGAATTATCCTCCTTGCCTTCAACTAAGTTATGAAAACCTTGATAATGAATCTTTGGGCGAGCTGGACCCTCTATAGGTTAAGTGGATTTACCCCCGAACATCCAAGTTTACCCCTGAAATATACTTTTCCGGAACTGGGCTAGCGCGGTCGCGCTAATGAGCGCGCTAGTGACTGCGCATATGCCCTATCATTCTGCCTCGACTAACTGGGTTAGCGCGGTCGCGCTAGTGGACACGCTAATGGTCGCGCTAGTGGACGCGCTAATGGCCGCGCTAGTCCAGGTCTCCATTTTAGCTCTTCTTTCTCTCGTCTTCCCACGTACTCAGCTTCTAGGGGCTTTTCTTGCTTCATTTTAGCTCCGATTACCGTCTTAAGTCCTCATTCATGCCAATGACTCCTGCAACGTGTGAAATTCACAATTAGAGCCAATTTATCGTCATTTAACTATATTATAACAGTGAAACATGATCAAGCTGGGACATAAACAATCGCCAAATTACATAAATCTAGCCTATAATCAACGATTGCATAATGGTTGGGTGTGAATGCATATATTCTTTGTAACGATGGCTCATCGGCTATCACCGAATGCTATCCGATGTCAATATTTTGAATATTTGTCATCGACTACTATATCTTCGGGATTCATTCAACACCGGTCACATGTTTGCAACCGGTATCGATTATTCGCTGATTCACATCCTATCTCTCTTCAGCTCCACGTGTCACCTCTTCATTCGTCCAACTGTCACTAACCAATTTACCGCATACATATTTTACTACTCATAAATATTTATATTCTTATTATTTATTCACCACATGATTAATCATCCTTTTGACCAAATTCTTTTCCTAAATTTTTTGTAATTGTTATACCAATCTTTCTTTACTTTATCCATCATTGTGTTAATTAAGTCCGATCGGGAATCATACTTTAGTGGATCTTGAGGTATGCCTAACCCCCTCTCGTTGAGATAACTTCAACCCTTACCTAAAATTTTACTAGTTCTGAAGACCATTTAAAGTATCCTAATGCGACGACTCCATTACTCTAATTAACTTATAGAGTCCTATATGTTGTGCTTTATTTAATATGGAAAAGGTACTGATATACCCCTCTACTTCGGTAAATATTATATTTCTCTCCCCTGTTATACTATCAGGTCATTTAAAGGCCTACCGTTAGGAAAGTGGGTAAAATTACCCTTATTTTTGGAGGGGTAATTAAATGGCCTGATACTATAACGAGGGAGAGAAATGTACTATTTACCAAAGTAAAGGGATATATCAGTACCTTTTCCCTATTTAATATGTGAAAAATAGGATGCAATAAATATTAGCTAATGCTAATATAAATTTTATACTAAAATGGTAATAAGGTGAGGTAATTATAATCGATGAGATATTCTTAGAACTGAACCAAACGAACCCTTAGCTCTTTCCGCACGTGATTCCCGGCACAGCGAGCTAAAACACACACACACAAAGTCAAAAACCTCGAAAAACAAAAGTACAAAAAGAGGCGGAATTCAAACATTTCAACTAAATCGGATTCTAAAAGCACAATTCACGTCCGCGTTCCCCCCCAGAACTGATACTTCCTTTCACGGCTCTTTTGATATTTTTTCGTGTTTTATCTGTTTTGAGTTCGATTTGGTTGTAATATATACATATATTTGCGGCTTTACTCTCCTTTTTCTACTACATTTTATAATCTGGCTATGGACTACGAGCCCTATGATAGCAGCGGTGAGTTTCTTCTTTAAAAAATGTTTGATCTTTTTGTTCTTTGCGTTTTGAAGTCTCTATTAGGGTTTTGAGGTGTGGTTTGGTGTTAGGGTTAGTGGAATTATCATGTGCATTGGTTCTAATATGAACTTCTTGTGGTTTTACTTTTGCTGCTTATGCCCACTTTAGAACCTATTTTCTTGGGTGAAATTTAAACTGATTTTCTTGTAAGAATTGATGTATTTTTAATGAGGTAAGGAATTACTTTTAAGTGAAACAGTTCATTTGTTCATTGAGCAGCGGAATGTGAAAGTAATTTTTCTTGAATTTTAGTTTAGATGCGTATGCTACCTTCAAGATTCATTCTTTAAGACTCTTGTAATTCTGCCTCAGTATTCTTTTAGCTGAATTACATGATAAAAATGAATCTGATGTAGAATTAAAAGCCTTTTGCTCAAAACCCAACAGAAACACTAAGTGGTTTCTTCCTATTTGCCTAAAGAATCTTGTGCTGGTGGATGGGAGTAGGTATCAGGTGGATTCGTCGAGGCGCACACAAACTGATCTGAATAATTTAAAAAAAAAAAGGAATTACAAGAGTCTTTAGGACAATGAATCTTGAGATTCTAATACCACGGAAAAATGAAATCTTAGTTTGGAATCTTTTTTAGGGGTACACCTGCTGCAGTTTAAGTTTTATATTCAAAGGTCCTTCATGATAGAAAGTGATCATTGTTTTCCTAGCACAAGCCGGATCTTTAGAATTTCTTTTGTTGGTGCTTATGTGAAAAAGTGTCAAAACTTGTATCATGTAATGCATGGTACTAGAACTGTGTTTAGTATACTCTAATAGGAAGAACCTGTAAACTTGTTGCAGGAACGGATGATGATCTACCTCCGTCACATCAAAGTAGGATTCCAAGAGGTGGTGGCCGCATTGCTGGAAATGGAAGATCTGCTGTCAGAGGTTCTATACCTCGCGCGAGGATGTATGGTGAAACTGACATGGAGGCCCAAATTCACCAACTTGAGCAAGAAGCATACAGTTCAGTTCTAAGAGCCTTTAAAGCTCAAGCTGATGCCATTACTTGGGTACCATCTTTTATAATGTACTTGTGAATCTAATATTCGAATTTGTTTGATCAGGTTTATAAATGGTTCCTCAATGAATGTATTTTCTTCAGGAGAAGGAAAGCCTCATAACTGAGTTAAGAAAAGAGTTAAGATTGTCCAATGAGGAACATCGAGAACTTCTTGCTAGAGTAAATGCTGACGATGCTATCCGAAGAATAAGGTTAGCTTTGTAGCTAACTCTTGTCCATGCTAACTCTTGGTTTTGTTCTGCATTCTAGAGTTACGTTATCTATTTATTTTAGGGAGTGGAGGAAATCTAGTGGACATGAATCCAGTATGCTTGGTACTGGTCCAGCTGTTCATGATCCAATGCCCAGTCCTTCTGTATCAGCTTCAAGGAAGAAACAGAAGATAGCCTCAACTTTACCATCTCACTCCTTTGCTGGACCATCTCCTACTTTTCATCAACCTGCTGGGACTGCTGCAAACCAGCCATCTTCATCCGCTGCTAAAAGAGGGCCTATGATGGGGCCTAAGGGCAAAAAGCATAAATCTGTAAGTCAGAGCAAAAAGATATGCAAGCTTACCATCTATTTTTTAAATCATTCTCGGTATTGAGTATCTTACTTCTATTTCATCATAGGGCCAGATGATGCCCGGTGCGTCTTCAGTGAAAATGCATAATCCTTCCTCTGGTCCATCTGGAAGAGGCCAATTTGGTAACCGGGTTTCTGAAGCTGCTGAAGCTGCATCATCTGATCCATTGATTGGAAGGAAAGTAAGAACTAGATGGCCTGATGACAATAATTATTATGAAGCGGTCATAACTGATTACAATGCAGCTGAGGTGCACATGATTCTTTGACTGAAGTTCATTTATTTGTTTATTCATTCATTTATATATTTATTTATTTCTTGTGGTTAGTTGCTGAGTCTTGATGCACCTTTGCAGGGTAGACATGCTCTTGTTTATGATAGGGGTACTGCAAATGAGATGTGGGAATGGGTCAATCTTACAGAGGTAAGGAGATGCTATATTCTCATGAAGTAAGCATTTTGATTAATTGCTTGTGTCCTAAGTGCTTTTAAAAGAGAAGCACGGAAAAAGCTACGAAGTCCTTCGAGGTGAATCGTACATTTTGCGGAAAATGTGATAACATTTTGATAAGGAAAATGCATAAATTACGAAATCTATTTTTATAAAGTCAAATGCGATAACAATTACTAGTTCTAGTGTATACAATGTCGACAATATTAATCCATCAACTTGAATTAAACATCATTAAAACGTAATTTCAACGAGGCCACAGAAAAAGAATTTCAGTTACAAATTTACTTTTCAGTTTGCAATTAACCAATCAGTAAGGAGAGTTAATTTGTAACATTCAGTTTTTTTTTCTTTAATAACTGGACTAAGAGAGTAAAGAAAGAAGAAAAAGAGAAAGCTTAGAATCAAAAGTAGCAAAGTAGCATGAGGACTTACATATTAGAAGAAGAAAGTGGAAATTGTTAGATGAGGAAGAAGTGAATCAAAAGGCCTCTAGGGGTTTCGTTAAAAAAACAAAGGTAGTACAGTGCAAGCGCAAGATCTATGGTAGGTGCATGTACACGAGGTCGGAACCTGGCTGGTGGGTGTGACGTTTAAGTAGAGAGGGGTAGAGTGCCTAGGACAACAGAGTTGCTGTAGTGCTACTGCTCGGACTGGAAAAGGCTAGAATGAAGACGTGGAATTATTCCTTCAGCTGTATGGACTATTTTGGAAGGAAAGGAATGCATGAATTTTTGAGAGCAAGTTTGAATCTTCTATTATTACTACTCTGTTTCAATTTATATGACACTTTCCGTATTAGTCTATTCCAAAAAGAATGACACGTTTCTATATTTGGAAACAAGTTAACTTTATATTTTCCATTTTACCAATTTTACCCTTAATGAGAAGCTTTTATAGCCACACAAATGTTATGGCCTACATAGCTTTTAACCTTTATGCATTAAAGACCACAAGTTTCAAAAGTCTTTTTTTTCTTTCTTAAACTTCATGCCGAGTCAAAATGTGTCGTATAAATTGAAATTGAAGGAGTATTAAGTAGAGATGCATCTTCTTACTGTTTTTTTTTTTGTGTAACATGACTATTGCAAATGATATAGAGGCCATGATAGACTTCTTGAGTCCATTGCATATTCAGCATTGATGCTGTCCTTTAAATATCTTTTAAGGACCTTCTGGTTGCTTACTTTTTTTAATACAAATATCTTTTAACAATAAAAAAGTAGAGAAGGGTAGAGGGATGAACTTATTATCCCCGATTTTTGAAGCTTGTTAAAAAAATGGACCCGGGAGACGTGACACCTCCGAACCCCACGACTGGACATTTGGTTCGTGGACAATATAACGTGGGGCCCAACATTAGGTAAACCAAGAATGGACCTACGCTTAACTGTAAGAGATAGCTAATAAGGTGAGGATAGGATAAGACCGTATAGAGAGACATCAACCACCCATTCCCTCGACTAATGTAGGACACTTTAAAAAGGTGAAAACAACAGATTTCTTGGATACCAAAAGAAGGAAAAAAGTAAGACAAAGACGTGAATCAAAAGAAACAGATGAATAGAAATAGAAAGGATAGCATAACAGACCACGACAACCAAAAGAACGTAGAGCCTAGAAGTGCAAAAGAATTTTGAAACTGACCAATTGATCACAGCCACAAGATGGGACATTAGATTTAGAAGGAGCACCAATGGTTGGGAATTGCAGAGAATCATGCATCTCGTGCAGCAACTTGGGAACTTTCACGGAACATCATACACTATGGAATGCCGTTTTCGGAAGCTACAAAAATACGGCATTTTCAATATCAATTCATGCTACAAATGCTAAATGCATTGTCAGATGATAGACACCATTGGCTTTGGGAAAAGATCTGGAGGTCTAGAGCCCGATACGAGGCATCTTGCGTCTGCTGGACATTAGCATATGAGGCTGATCTAACTCCACAAAACCTCCAGCAAAGAAAAATGTTTCTATGCATCTAATGTTACATGTGTGAGATGGCATCCGAAGATGCTAACCACCTGTTCTTACGCTGTCCAGTGGCACTGATTTGGAACTTGCGTTGGAAAATTAAACAACTTCTTTATTGCCGGACAGGTAAAGTAGTGGAAGAGGGGAAGAGAAGGATTTGGGAAACTATCCCATCAATCATATGGTGGGTGATCTGAAAAGAAAGAACCCTCAGATGTTTCGAAGGAAAGAGGGAGAATACATACTAGCTCAAATATAACAGTTTATCTCTCTTAGTTTTCTGGTGTAAAATGCAGAATGTGCAAGATGTAGATAGCTTTTTTTAGTTTCCTCATTCTTCTTACAGATTAAACTAGGACGGAGCTGAGTTTTTGCATTGGTTCCATGATGGAACTGATGCCCTTGTTAGGTTGATGGTTTAACTTTTGGCACATCCTCACAGCTACTTTTGCTTCATAACATTAACACTTACCAAAAAATAACCGACAAATTTTCTGTTTATATTAAAGTTAAAAAAAAAATTGAATTGAACTTACGGAACTTTATATGCATGTCAGAATACTTAAAGTTACCATGTAGATCCATCAGTTCAACCTAGAGGGTGTTTGGATTGGCTTATTTTAAGTGTTTATTGGCTTTTAAGTACTTTTCTAGTTTTGTGGTGTTTGACAATGATAAAAAGTGCTAAAGCACTTATTTTTGAGGCATGAAAAGTACAAAAATAAGCCAAAACCCAAAAGTTGGATATTACCAACTTATGGTGTTTGGCTTTTAGCTTATAAGCTGCTTTTTAAAAGCCAATCCAAACACCCTCTTAACCTCGAGTGTTTCCCCTCCACAGTCTTTCTTTTATAGGATATCCCTTTGCACGTGGAGAGATATGGTGAGTAGGAAGTTTACAACTTAGAATATGCAATAAGTTAATAGAGATTCATTTCAGATGTCAACTTATAGCCTCAAATCACCTTTTTATATTCTACTTGTTACAAGTACTAGATTTCTAGTTAATGTTCTTCCAGTTGCAATAAAATGAAATGCAATGTACTAAAATTAAATGAAATGAATGAAAATAACTAATGTCAAGATCTATCGCACAGTTAACTCTTTTCCTTTGTTGTTGATCTACCTAATTTGATCTGTTTTAATCCATGGAGCAATATTGACAACAGTCAAAGCTTTCAAATGATGTACATTATAATAGTAAATAAAGCATATTGCACCTAAAAAGAAATATTTCCATAGTAGGTGTACTTCCAATGTACTCATTGTAATACTGTGTATCTAATTTATGGTGACAATGAATTTATTTATTCTTGAATTTATAGTGATAATGGTATTTTTTGTCTTATGTTTAATCTTGTTAGTGGTTTTATAACAAATGAGACATCCTAATAATCCCTCCATTTCAATTTATTTGAACCTATTTCCTTTTAAAATCGTTTCACACAAATACTATGACATGTTTAAGACCACAAGTTTCAAAAAGATTATAGCCACACAAATGATTATGGCTTGTTTATGACCACAAGTTTCATAAAGTTTTCATTTCTTTCTTAAAACTTCGTGCCCAGTTAAATAGGTTGCATAACTTGAAACTGAGGGAGTATCATATTGTTATATACCCTTTTAAAAGTACAAAAAATAAATTAATTGGACCGTACCAAATATAAACCAATACAATTGAGATGGTTCAAAAACTTACAAAGTTTGGCTATAAGCAATAGATTGATCGAAATATTAGTATAGCATCAGTTTCATAAAATAAAATAGCCGACCGAGTCAGACCATTGACAATCTTAGTGATAGCATATGTAAGGAGTCCTTAGTACCCAAGTAGCAAAAGGTCTCTTTTCCTCTCTTTTCTTTTTGATCTTCCAAAATCATACTCCGTTTCAATTTATGTGAAGCTATTTAACTGAGCACGGAGTTTAAGAAAAAGGAGAATTTTTTTGAACTTGTGGTGTAAAATGAGGCACATATATTTTGTGTGGCTATAAGTCATTGCATAAAGGTAAATTGTTTCCAAATATGGAGTGGTCATTCTTTTTTGCACGGACTAAAAAGGAAATATGTTAACATAAATTGAAACGGAGGGGTATTAAAAGAATCCATTGTTTATTTCCAGATCACTTTATGCCTCATTCTTAGAAGTACATCGCTTCACCCATGAGGTATAAACCTTGCTTTGGATTGCTTTATTTTATCGCTTTAAGCGGCAAATAGATCTGCTTTACTAACACTTGCATGTCTCATTGGCATATCTGTTTCCTATTGGTTTGTGAGGGTGGTGGTATTTAAAAAAGTTATTAGCCATGTTTTTAAAAGCGAAAAGCACAAAGAAAATAGACAAGGTCAATAAGTCTTGAGGCGGAACGCGACAAGTAAAGCGCACGCTTCTTTGAATTGAATCTCACACTTACAGAAAATTAAAAAAAAAAAACCAAGCATATGTGAATTTAGTACTATAATAATTAAATTGCAATTAAAATAACTAACTTCAGCATCCAGTATACAATGATGCAGACATTAGTACAAATCCTCAGAGTTGAGATTAAAAAAACTCACCGCTTCTCGTTTGGATCACTGAACACGTCATTATTTGAAGCGCATGGTTTCACTTATGAAGCGACAACCCCTCGCTTCACATTGCTTCTCTGAAGTGCATGGTTTTTAGCGACACTGGCTTGTGTCCCAAATTGCTCTCAGACTAGGAGTGGTCTTATAGTCAATGTACTCATTTAATCATCGTTTATTTAATGCTCCTAATTCTTGCATATATAACCAGATTTGACTCATTCTTTGTTTATTTTGAAGAGCTTATTCAAGGTTTTGACTTAACTGACTTCTTTGACAGATCTCTCCAGAGGATATCCAGTGGGAGGGTGAAGATCCTGGAATTTCTCGTCATGGAAACTACAGTGGATTAGGGCGTTGCATGAATAGACCTGTTGGACGTGATAGTGCTCCAGCTGCAGGTAGAGGTAGGGGTTTGCCTAAAGCTCAATCCAGAAAAGATTTTCCATCATCACAGAATGGCATAGCAAAGAAGAGATATGATGATATTCAGCTACTTCACACTGATACATTGATTAAAGAGGTAACCGCAGTTTGATATCTGCTTGATACAAAAATACTACCTTTCTGCATTTGTTCATTGACTGGTGAATGTGGTTAGGTGGAGAGGGTCTTTGGTGCTACTCATCCAGACCCTCAGGAGGTTGAGAAGGCAAAGAAGGTATTGAAGGTTAGTGGCACCCATCTTTATGGTGATTGTCCTGCTCACACATTAGTCTCGCTAGAAGCCTAACTGCTTATATTGTACAGGAGCATGAACAAGCACTTCTGGATGCTATTTCAAGGCTTGGAGAGATATCTGATGGAGATAGTGGTATGAACTGTGCCAGAATATTTTCTATTTATTTTTCGCTTTGGGCCTCATTGTAATTGCATTTAAGTTGGATAACTTTCAGTACTATTCTCGAAGTCTAAGGTCATAATTGATTGTTTTGATTCTTTTTTTTTTGTTTGCTTTGTATTACGATGTACATTTGACTAATCATTGACAACCAACAACACTATTCTTGCATCTTATATTGGTTTCCAGCGAGTTGCACTCTTCATGCTTCAAGCCTGTAAGGACCACACAAAACCCTCTAGCTAGACAAAAAAACTGTTAATAGTATAAAACAATGCTATTATACTGCCGTTCCGTCTTCATTGCTTTTCGTTGAGAACATGAAAAATGGCTCTGATTGTGGATTTGTGATCATCCAAAACCGCTACCATGCCAGTCATAGTTACTTCAAGTCCTAGTTTAGATCTTTGACGAGATTCTTTTATTGTCTGAAATAAGGATCTTGATTCTTCTAATTGAATACTTGTGCCAGAAATTCCTCAAAACAGTTTGCCATTTTCATCATTTTCCTCAGGATCCTATTAAATAGAAATAGAGAACAAAATAACTAGGAAGGTTGTTAGACTCCCCACTTCTAGAAGGATCATCTACAAAGCTAATATCAATCTCATCGAGATCATTGATTTCATACCAAATCCCATCATTCTAATTACTCTTTCAAGAAATACGACATCTAAGTCATATCCTAAAATAATCCATTCTTAATCAAGTAAAATGATAAGTACCCTCCAGAAATTATCAGTTAATGTATCTTGAGATTTCTTCACTGATAATTATCGGTGAATGTTAATGAAGTTCTCTTCTCCTGCACCAAAACCTTAGCCATGAGAAACTTTTATTGGCGAATCCAAGTATGTGGATTGTATGGCTTGTGTTGAACAAGGACTGTTCGTTGGTTGTGGTGCTTAGACTTTTCTGATTTTTTGTTACAACTAAAATGTATTGCCTTTTTTTTGAGAAGGTAAAATTATTGCCTTGATCCCATAATCCTTCATCGTCTTCCTTATTGCCTGTAAGATGCCGTATATTTTCCCATTTGAATGATGTGGAACAAGCGCGTCGCACAGTATAACTCTTTCAAGTACTTGTAAAATCTCCTACTTGGCATAGGAATGGCTTCTGGTTCGATCTTGGTGTAGATAATAGTTACAGTAGGATACAACCTCCGTTTTGTTCCTTTGATGCTTATTTTTCTGCTTGATATTAAGTTGCTTTTGTCATATATCTTATATAATCATAAATTAAGTAGAAAATTGTCTTTCCTTGACATGCATGTTGTTAGATAGTTATGTGTAAATATGTCCTAGTCCCATATGTACTAGGAGTAGACTATGTCCTAGTCCCATATGTAGTAGGAGTAGAATATGTATTATATATAGGGCTCATTGTATCGTTGTTAATAAATAGATTTTTCTCCCGTGCATTCTCACATGGTATCAGAGCTTCAGTGAGAAAATTATCGTTGTGCGTCATTCCAACGACATCCGGGAAGAAAAATCTCATCGCCGTGCACCGGCAACTTCGTCTTGTTCCCAGGGTTTATCACTGCTACAGTGGTACTGTGCATATACCAGTACCACCACCAAATCCAAAACCCTTGTGCGACCAAACCCCAAAAATTCTAGTACCATCTGAACAGAAAAGTCAGTACTGTGCGTCTTTCCGGTAGACGACTTAAGTTGCGTTATCTCCTCATCGGTAAGTGTTGTGCAAAAACCAAAACTACCATTTTGTTCGGAAAAGTCAGGCGACAAAACCCTAGTCAATCGCTCCGGTAGAAAGTCACGACCTTCCACGCGCCGCCAGAACTTGGGTTCCAGCGAGCTACAATAACTTTTCCGACGCGTGTGAGCCATTCTGGCCACTTTTTGACAAAACTTCTTCAGGACAACTTACTCGTCCAGTGATTCCGAGCCTACCCATATAAATTACATCAAATTCGGACAACTTTTATTTTTTTCGACGTGAACAGTGATTTACCGCTGCAAACAGTAATTTCATAAAAGTTTCTGTTTTCTTGTGGTGTTTTAAAACCTATTTTGTAGTGTGGAATTCGGCGTAGTCTCACTATTTTCAAATTTTTCCGACGACCTTTCGGCCAACTTTTGCTTATGAGCAATCACTTGGTTTTGTTGCTTAGGGGGAGTCTAGTGGCCTTGTAGTAGTTACATATATAACAAGCTCGGTACATGTGATTTGTATGCCCGGCTTGAGGGAGAGTGTTAGATAGTTATGGGTAAATATGTCCTAGTCCCATATGTAGTAGGAGTAGAATATGTCCTAGTCCCATATGTGGTAGGAGTAGAATATGTATTATATATAAGGCTCATTGTATCGTTGTTAATAAATAGATTTTTCTCCCGTGCATTCTCATACATGTCATTAGGAAATGCGATTGACAAATCTTTTACCTTATTTTTTCCATATCCACCTAAATAGATAAATGAAGAAACTCCTCAAGAACAAAACACTACATTTAAATGATTGTTCTCGCTACTGGAAAACCAAAAGTTATTTGTATGACAAAATATCATTTCATTGTGGAATATAGCTCAATTTCTTACTGTTCAAGAAAAAAACATCTGATGCGATGAATACCATATAACACAACAAACCATGCACTGATGTCAAAGGCAACAAGAGCAGAAAAGCGCCAAGATCTGCTGAAATTTTTAGTGTGATCTCAGCTCAAGACAAGCCCATCGAAAATTAGGTTGATGCCTTAGGTCTTGGCGCTGTATTGAAGTTCTGCCTGACAAGGCCATGGGAAATTAGGTGCACATGCACGCTTTAGGTCTTGGTGCTGTGTTGAAGTTCTCCCAAAGTGAGATGAAGTGTCCAACATGCATTGCATGTAGTTTCAAGGCTTAACTGGGCCTCAAGCAAGCCTCTAGTAACGTTGTACTTTTGAAATTATGTGATGTAGAAGGGAAATAAAAATGTGAAAAAGGTGAAGTTACATTCTAAACTATAAGATGGTATCCTCCCTTTGAAATCGATAAGCATAAGTTAAACCACCCTGGAAATAAAAGCAAAATAAACACCTGCTAAAACCAAGGGGATGCTGTGGTCATCTGCATAAATATAAATTATATGAAACTTAATTAGGATCTGAACACCATGGATTTTGCGGTAACAGGTGACTCAAAGTCTTAGTAGAAAAAATATGCTATCATAGTTTGATACTAGTTTATTTTGATGGAAGGTCCATGACTGTTCAGTTAGATCCTCGGTGAGGCATCAAATGAAAAGAAGGATGATGATGATGCAAAGAAGAGAATCTAGGATCACCGAGAATGCCCCAGATTCAAACTGATAGAGGTTTCAATGCAGTGCCCATGGATGAGCTATGGAACTGCTACTTTTGCTAATGAATACTTTTTCTGAGGGTCATCGGACTGGGTAAAACCTGAATTAACCGTGGTGCACTTGCGGAAAACTCCTTGCCGAGGGCCTGTGCACCCCCGTGATTAGTCGGGGCTCTTAGAGACTCGGACACCCGGTGCAAATCAGAAAAAAAAAAAAAAAAAACTGTGTTGAGGCAAGGAGAGTGTAGGACTAGTAGCGCAACTGGTAGCTTGAAAGAACAGATGAATAGGGGCCCATATTGAGCTTGCTTCAATTGCTTGATTTGGAGCATTCTTTTCAAGTGGGTTAATGTTCAACTGTGTTTTTGGTGAAATTGTAATTGTGAAGATTTAGGGTATTTCTGGGGAACGTTAGAATAGAATACCAGTGAACACTTCCTGACCTATCCCTTAGTGTTCCCTTTATGTTTTCCGTTTCTGCATATTTTGGAAACATGACCATAAATATCCATCCTTCAATGGGCTTTCTGTTTAAGAAAACAAACACCCCAAAATAATGGTAGTGTTTAACCTAAAAACTTTTAATAGGCTAAGCAATTGAATTTGTACTTTTGACCACAAACAATCGAATTAAACCAATTTTACCTAATCCTTCGATTAATAGAGTATAAAAGACTACAGTAGATAATTGCGCTAAAATAACAATAAAGAGAGTGAAAGTGATTATTACTGATGAACAGTGTTAAAAATAGCGTGAAGCGAGGAAAAACGACAACCCCCATTTCACGAAAAGCGAGAAGCGAGAAGCGAAGCGCCCGCTTTTTTGAAGTGAAGCGGAATTTTTTTAAAAAAATTTAAAATAAATACGGCATAGACAACACATGTAATTGTAAGCAAATGTTCAATAACATAAGAAAGGCAATAAGAACTAAGAATAAAAAATATATAATTGGGCAAAAATTGGGCAGAATTTGGGCAGAAACGGGCAGAATTTTTCTGAAAAAATTTCGCCAGCATTTCGGCTCTTTTTGGACGTTTAGAAAGAAAAAGAAAAAGAAAAAGAAGAAGAAGAATGAAAATAAAACATACTTGTTGAAACTTAAAAGTTGTTGTTGACTTGTTGTAATGTTGAAGAAGAAGAAGAAGAACCCTAGTTTGCTTGAACAAATCGTTGCTTCATGTGAGGAAGAAATTGCTGGTTTTTTGAGGAAGAAAAGGCTGGTTTATAACCCTAGGTTGCTGCTGAAGAATGACTAAAACAGAAGACTCACTCGATTTGGGTTTTTTAATTGAAAGAAACTCGTTTGGGCTTTTATTTCCAGAAGCGCTCGCTTCTTCCGCTTTCTACCGCTTCACCGCTTCTCGCTTTTTTGGCAGAAGCGGTCGCTTTTCTCTACCTGTGTCGCTTTTATCTGGGTAGCGCCCAACCCGTCGCTCCGCTTCGCTTCTCGCTTAAAGCGATGAAGCGGGCGCTTTTCTGAACACTGCTGATGAATCCGTGTCAGTTGATGATTGATTGATGACCAAAATGAACACAACAATTTTGCCAGAGTTTCAGTAGATAATATTGAGTGAATCACAATGTGTTACAATGTTGGGGAGTGGGAATATTTATAGGGTAGCCTAATGGTAACCGTTTCCTAGAAACCCTCCTGCACGTTATAGACGTTACAGGCAGTAAAGGTGAATCCCATCCGTTACGCTAGCTGAATTGTAATTGCAGGACGTGATTAATGTAGGATCACGGATATCTTGGCGTCTCTTGGTTCGGAGTAGGTACCCACCCGGACACCTGTGATCATCCGGACAGGTTATTCAGGAACGGCTTTGTTCGGGTAGGTGCGGAACACTAGTTGTCAGTCAATCTAATTTTCAATGTGAATTTGGGCTTCATTTCCTTGATTTTCAAAAATAAATTGACATAGTCAGAAATTGTTTAGAAGTAATGTTAATCGCAATATTTTGTATTAATAATATTTAGGAGATGCTTGAAAATAGTTGTTAAAAAAGTTGTTGATTTCCTAAATAGTAATTCTACCGTTCTCTTGTGACGGAGGAAATATTATTCTTCAAGATATATTCTAATCATTTCCTTTACTTTCTCTCTTTCTCCCGCTCCTCCCTCCTTCCAGTTGGAAATTTACCACCAGGAAGTGCCATAAAACCAAGCTGCTGTCTCCTCCGCGTCCAATATCATGTGCAGTTCAATGCATTCATTTCGCTTCAATCAAATTCACGTACTGGCTGTGATGTGTATATCCAAAATACCACCATCTTAGTGGACTTTTGTCTATTACTGGCCATTTCTTTGGTCAGCCAACCCTTCCCTCTGGTGGAAGGATCACCATATTATGCACATTTTTAAGGTGAAATAAGTAAGAAGTTTTTCAGGTTGTAACAGAGTTAATGATCGTGATGGATTGATGGAGAAATCAAAGCAGAAAACATTATGAGGCAGAGCAACTGGATGTGTCTGTACCACATAGAAAGTTAAAATGCATAGATGATTGGTCTTCCTCTGTTGCATGTTGTGTCAGTAGCTTTACTCGAGGAAAGCATTAAAGCATGTTCCTGTTGTCTTTCTCGGACTTACAAAACCTAAATATCGCCCCATGTGTTTGCATAAAGGTAAAAACTATGAATGACAATAATGAACTGGAACTTTATGGTTTTCCAAATCCTCAAAATTTTGCTACTCGTAGCATCTGGTGTCATAATTGTTGAGCCTAACGTCGCTGTCTGTTGCATGCGTGGTTTCTATGTAAAGGCACTGCTTTTGACTTTCTGTTGGTTCACCTCTTCCTTTCCTGTTGATCAGAACATTTATTAATACTGTTGCAGATGAACGGCATTTCATGCACGGGCAAGCGATGGATCAGGAATGATAGACAGACATCTCGTAAATGGTAATTAGCTGTGAAGAGCTGCTGTCACTTAACTAGCTGTGAAGAACTGCTGTCACTTAACTAACAGCCAAATGGGCGGGGCGTATATATTTTGTTGATAGTCACCACTACGTTAAAACACCAGATTAATATTTGTCTGTTGTATAATGCCTACTTCAGAAAATGTATGCTAACATTAAATTACTCTAGTTTAGATTCTTAGCATAGGCCAGTCTGTAGCTGGGTGATTGTTTCCTGTAGTTGCAGGTTCTTGCCCTTGTAAAATTATCACATTAGCAATTAGCATGTGATTATGTAAATAGTTTTATTAACAGCTGGTGCCTAAATTGCGGCATCCCTGTCTTTCTTGTGCTCATTGGAATCATGGCAAACAACTCAGTTGAAGCTCTAGAACTGCCAGTTCGCGCAATTCTTCTCTCTGCAACTGCATTTTATCTGAACCTGCATTGAAAGTGCAGCAACTGATCACTATTTTTCCCTATAGTTTTTTCGTTATGTGTTGCTTGCTGCCAATCTTAGCTTTTGAAAGGTGTTGTGATTTGAGAAGGTGATGGTGGTGGGAAGGGGTTAATTTCTTTTCAGGTGTTTTATCCATTGATATATATCTCTATATATATATATATAGAGAGAGAGAGAGAGAGAGGGGGATAGGTTAGCACTCTTCCCACTTTTAACTTCTCAAATTTAACCCTCTAAGCACATTGGCAACACATTAAAATATTTTTGTCTTTCAACCGAATCCTTCTTCTCACTCTACATTGTGCTGCCAGATTGTACTTGCAAAACCCATCCATTTTCTCGCTCGTCTCCACTACTGGTCAAGTGCAGCAATTTATCTCCTTTCTTTATTATGTTTTCCTCTTCTTCCGCCATATCCATCTCCGTACTACCCATCTAATCAAATAAAAATTCCAATCTTTACCAACATTAATTGTCTTGCATTAAACTCTTTTATTAGCAGTAGACCCATTCCCTCTTATTAAAAAACGAAGCATAAAGTACAAAGTATTGAAAAGAAAGCTATGATAAAGTTAATGGAAACTGAAAATGAATACATTCCAGAACTGCTGATCTATAACTAAAAGGAAGAACAAAGCATTTCTTCTCAAAAAATTAAGAGGAAAAATGAAATCCGAACTTCAAAACTCTATTCCTGAACCAGAAATTTGAAGAAAACCAACTATTTTGTTGCTGCTTCAAAAAAAAGATTTTTCATAGTGGTGAAGGACCTGAAATTGCTGAGCATTTTTTAGTTGTAGACTTTAGTTTTAGGTTGTTACTCATTTATTTACAATTGAAAAAACGAAAAAGGGTTTAAAAAAAAAATACCCCTTTACTATGCGAAAAAGATTATTTGTACCTCAATGCACTATCGGTCCATCATAACCCCCGGCGCTATAGAATTGCACAAAAATACTCCTCTGCCGTCAGGGTCCTACACCATGGCTAATGTCACAGGGGTGATTTATGTCGGTCTGAATTCTGCCCGAGGTTCACCACTGTGCGGCAGTCAAGCCCAGCCTTGACTTCAGCCTTCCAACACTTAGAATATTCTTAGGGACGTTTGGTACTTAGAATAATTTAGGCAGCAAAGTAAAGTAAAGGCACACATAAAATTTACAGAAATTTCTTCCAACTCGTATTAATATGTGAATACAAGAACACAATAAAGCCAACTCTATGGCCAAGAACAAAGAACATCCTAGTTCCCTGCCCCAAAATGACCTCCAACCCTTAGACGTTTTTGGTTAACACTTTGCCACAAGACTAAATTCTGCCCTTTGGAACAACCCTATGCACGTTTTTACAGTGCATGCTGCCCAACTACACTTAGCAGCATCTAAAACAATCGGTTGACAAGCCCCAACATATGGGCAAACATGAGAGACATGCATAAAAACGTGCATCCACTTAGCCTATGATCAATCATGCTTGGATGTGACAGTTGTAACCACTCAACTGCACTGTCATGTGCCCAACACACTTTGTAATCGCTGCTTGTACACTGCATGTGCTTGTTTTGGCCAGCTGCTACGCGCCCAAGGCTGACATTGCGCCCAACCTTGCCCTTTGACACTGCTCCACCCCAATGTCATGGCCACAACTTGTCGCCCATGACTTAGCCGCACACGCCCGCTGCCATAGCTGGTTGCTCATGTCAAGTCGCCCCCAACTTGATCAAATCTGCCCATGCCAGTGTCATAGCTTATGTCTTGGCCCCTGCTTTGACATGGCTTTGCCTTGCCATTGTCATGCCAACCCGCACGTCCATGTTAAATGCGTCTTGCCTCCGTCAAGGTGTGTTTGTCAACCCCTCATAGCCCGTCATGCCGAGTTGCCCGTCATGATGTAGCCCCAATTTTCAGGTTGTGTGTCAAGGCCATCATGCAAATCCTTGTTACAACCCACATTTGCCGATGAACTTTGTCAAGGGGCTAACAGCTAACATTATGGCCTGACATTTTGTTGAGGTGAACGTCATGTGACATGCCACCTCACTGCCCTACCCCATTTTACCCTCTCCCCCAATTATTTTCTCCAACACCACTTGATGCCCTACCCCATTTTACCCTCTCCCCCAATTATTTTCTCCAACACCACTTGAATATTCTTTCTCTGAACATTACTAGTTCCCAATACGATCAAGACTCAAAAATTTTAACCACTTTCAGGTCCTTCTCCACTACGCAAAGATCCTCTATATAGATATACTTAATTTTTTTGAGGCCATTATATTTCTTTTTATTGTATAGATATACATGTAAAGTATTATGTGAGTGTTCTATATTTTCTTGTAAATTGATATTGAATTTTCAAAAATACGAATTAATTAAATTTTAATTGAATTGAAGAAAGATAAAAATGCGTGCAAGAAAAATGCATCCATTGTTCTATATAACATTAGAGAATGGTACTTCGGAGATCGATAACCAGTTACCAAAGCAGACATTGATCCATTTTTAAAGTTTAAACAAAACTCTCATTCAATTTTGGTTAAGGGGTATATATACTAGTCTTGATTATTGAGAATAAAACCCAAACAAAACTCAGTGGTCATCCAAAAGAAAAAAGAAGTCACATGTACTCTATTTGTCTTTATTGGGGCAGTTCAAAAGATGGCATCCTTCTTATTTGTTCATCAATCATAGTACATAGCGCAATTTGGAACAAATTGGAGCTTTTATTTATTTGTCCTAGTTGCTTGAATAGAAACAATATTTACTTCACTCTATCACTTATTTCTTTGCCTTGCCTTTCCTGAAACTTTATTTTTATTCGGCCGTTGTCTTTGATTGACTTGCCAAGCTATTTTTGGCAGTGGTTAGGCAAAAAGGGAGTTGGTATTGGAGGAAAAGACGACGGAGAAGTAAATTGGATTGAGGCGGTGAAGTAGCATGCTGCATGACATCCATCTCAACAAAATGTCAGATCATATGAGATGATGTGGTCATAGTGGAGGGCTTTAACCGCAGAAGGATATTTTTGTACCAATTCTATAACGTCGGGGCTATAATAGACTGATAGTATAAGAAAGGGTATATGATCTTTTTCGCTTAGCAAAGGGGTATTTTTGACCCCTCTCCATTTAAAAAAACGTATGTTGGAGTTGCCTTGATTATTGTGCCCATAATATTTTGAGACTTAGGTTGCAAAGGAAAGATGGTGTAGCGACCCAACCAGTTGTTTTGCTTTCTAGAATCCAGTTCCCCTACATAAGACTTTTCGTACGTGATTTTACTGTTTTATGACTTGCAGGAGTGGTTAGTTTAGAATTTGGAAGGGTTCGGGTTGAAATCAGAATACTTGGTTCCTTAAGGTTGGCTAAAAAGGCTAAGTTTGACTTCGGTCAACATTTTGAAAAAAAGGACATCGGAATTAGGATTTGACAGTTCAAATAGGTTCGTATGATGATTTCAAACTTGGGCGTATATTCGGATCGAGTTTTGGATGACCCGGGAGCGTCTTGGCACCTAATAGTGAAAGTTGATTCTTTGAAGGTTTTTTTAAGTTATTTAAATTTGGTTTGGAGTAGGTTTGATAATATCGAGGTTCGAATGGAATTCCGAGACCGAAAATAGTTTCATAATGTCATTTAATACTTGCACGCAAAATTTAGTATCATTCCGAGTAGTCTAAGTATGATTCGGCACGTCCGGAGCGATTTGGAAACTTGAAGTTCATATTTTGATTCAATTTGGTTTTGGGGGTGTGATTCTTGGTTTTATTGTTGTTTTACACGTTTCAAGAGTTTGAGCGGTCCATATTATGTTTACAGACTTGTTGGAATAGTTGGATGGGCTCCCGAGGAGCTCGGGTGTGTTTCGGACCACCCGGAGCAAAGTATGAAAAACCAGAAATTTCTAGTTCTGGTTTCCTTCTACGCGAACGCGGAAGGACCCTCGCGTTCGCTTAGAAGGATTTGTGGGACTGGGGCTGGGGGCATTTTTCCCTTCGCGTTCGCAAGGTAGGACTGTGTTCGCAGAGGCTGGGCCCCTTGGCCTTCGCGTTAGCGCTTGAAAGGCTGTGTTCGCATAAAAGCCTGGATCTGGGCTTGGGCCACCCCTGTTTCCCTTCGCTTTCGCGTGCCTGGCTCCGCGTTCACGTAGAACCTTTTTTGGGCTCCTCAGTTTAGCCATCGCGATCGCAAGAGCTTGGCCGCGATTGCGTATAAGAACCCCTGGGCAGAATCATTTTTAAAAAACGGGACTTAGGCTATTTTGGCTAATTTTCTTTCATTGTTGGGTGATTCTTGGAGCTCTTAGAGAAAAGATTTCACCTAGCACTTTGAGGTTAGTAATTTCTACACAATGTGAGTTAAATACATAGTTTATGGCAAGATTATAACATATAAATTAGTGAAAATTATGGGTTTAGGTGAAAACCTAGGTTTTTGATAAAAAAGGGATTTAACCACGAATTTTTTTATGAAACTTAGGGAAAATCATATATTTGAGTTCATAAGGTTATGGGTAACAACTTTCTTCAAAAAAATTTCGAAATTCGGGCACGTGGATCCGGGGGTGAATTTTAGGAATCCTACACTTGGGGTTGGGTAATCACTTTAATAGTTGAAATATGAACTTTTGAGCATGTATTGATTAATTTATACACTATTTAATTAGTTTTGGATTGTTTGGCACCGAATTGAGGGTTTAAGCACAATCTTGGACCTGAAAGTAGGCTTTGAGACAAGGTAAGTCTCTTTTCTAACCGTGTATGAGGGAATTAACCCCATAGGTGAATTGAATTAATATGTGCTTCTATTTGTGGGGGCTACGTACGCACGAGGTGACGAGAGTCCGTATGTAGCTACTAGTTATGCTTATGTCGGGGTAGTCTAGGACCTAAGTCATGTTATACTTATGATGTTTGCATCCTACTTGTTAATT